CAAAAAAAAAAAAACAGATTTTCTTGGGGGTAATAAAAAAAAAACAAGAGAAGACAAAACGAAAAGCCCTCCTAGTCCTTGCGATGAGGACACGTGTCCATCCCGCCGAACACAACACGCATGTCCGCTGACGCCGATAACTTCAGCAGTACTTTCTTTTTTTCTTTTCTTTTCTTTTTTCGGTAGTACAATATCAAGCAAGAAGCACGTGCTAATGGCCCCGTCGGAACAAGGAGCCACGTCAGCACTGTGTCACTACTTCCTGTAGGGACACGCGTACAATCTGAAAAGGTAGTTGTGCATATAGACGCAATCCTGTGTTAAATACATTTCATCGCGATTCCCAATGTGGGTTTCTCTGCACCCACGCGTGTAGAGGGACTATCCGGCCCCTTTTCCGATTGCCGCACTGCATTTTTTTTTTTTTTTTTTTTTTTTCCGCACTGCATTATACACCCCCTGCTAACCCCAACATTAGGACATTATAATTATTAAAAAATCAGGACATTCATCGTCCGTCGGGTCATCAGTTAAAATTGTTACGCTACAAAGATTAGGCCGTCGCTCCCCCACTGACCAAATGTGCAAAATGAGAATGAATCTTCCGGTAGAACATGGAAAGATACATCGCCGTAATTTGTGTATTTGTGCGTGTGGTGAATGGTGGAGCGAGGCCCGTAATTATAGCATGGATGGCTCGGCGCAATCAATCAAGAGGACGATAGGCACAAATCGAGAAATGCTAATAAAAAAAAAGCCAAAAAAAAAAAGGACATGGCACATTACCCACTTTGTATGACCACATGCGATGCACCTTGTCCTCCCCTGCTTGTCGGTAATTAGGGGAAGTCGTTCCCATTACTTTTCCATGATTGCCATCCAGGCAATCATGGAGGCAATCATGGAACAGCCACGTGACTATTGAGCAACAGATCATGGAACGGCCACGTGGCTGTCTCATAACCACTACTGTCTAGGTGCATGACTGATAGCTGACAGACGTGCTCGTGCTGCATGACGGACAGCCACGTGGCCGTTCCATGACAGCTGGCTGCAGGTTGCCGCCACGTCATCTCTCACATCAGGCATGGATTATCACTCTTTCCTTCTCTAACCCCCTCTCTGTTTGCCAAGGAACAAGGGGAAAAAAAAAAAAAAAAAAAAAACCGAATATGAAGAAACTCCAAGAAAAAGAATTAAAACAGAGACAGATAACTCCGGGTTGAATTGTGAGGTTCCCGGCCTCGATTTAACCTGTTATAATGATTTCTGTTTGAAAAAAAAAGAAAAAAAAAAGAGATTGGGAGAGAGAGAGACACGGGTGGGGAGAGAGAGAGAGAGAGAGAGAGAGAGAGAGAGAGAGAG